ACCTAGCACGCTCGGCACTGAGCTGCCCTATCATTGCTGGGAACAGCTGAAAGGTGCGGAACCACTCCATCCGGGACGAAGCCGAGAATTCATTAAGTTTAAAGGCCTCTTTTTGATCTCCAAAATCCTCTAAGTGAGAATTTAAGAAACTAGTACTTGAAGGAGCGGCCTGAAGGGGAGAAGGAGGAAGCCCATGTACTTGGAGTTTCTTTGATCCAGTGCATTTTAATTACCAGGCTGGGTCTTCCAGGTGGCTCTGCTGGGGAAACAGGGCAGAACAGTCCAGCTTGTCGTCAGGGTCTGCACGGGCATATCTGGAGCATCATTTACCCGCCATTTTTTGGAATGGCCTATAGACATCATTCCTTTGTGTATAAAATCGGGAACCCAGATAACGTCCACTAAGAAACCCAGGGCAGCAAAACAAATTACTGTATATCAACGTTTTTGACAAATGAACAAAACCTGCTCCTTCTGAGAAAGAGGCTGCTGGGTGGTAAAGCGGGAGGCGGCGCTTTAGAAACAGTAAAAAGAGGTGAGGGGTAGATTGTGCACCAAGTGACCACTGGGGCTCCTCAGCACTGGCTGTGTGGTCTTGGAGAATTTCCTCACCTTTCTCAACATCAGCCCCATCACCTACGTAAGAGACCTGCCAATCACTTGACATCCTTGAGAAGCACATTGTAAAATACACTAGAGAGCTTAGCACCAAGCACGCACAGCTCCAGTTCAGAAGCAGCACACAGTAAAAGGATCTTCATAGTAAAACCTGGACCTCAAAAATTCCAAGTTTCATTAATTACATCTAGCCTGTGAAACAGGGAGATGGAAATACTATAACGGTTTTTCTGGCTCTTACTCATAGGATGAAGATTCCAGTTTATAAATAGTGGCTTTTTCCAAATAAAGAATCTCTTCACTGTCCCTGCGTCATGAAGTCCAGAAATAAACTCTAACATGGTAAGACTGCTGTTTATATACCATGCTCATTACTACTGACAATGGATTATTTTGGTTATAGCCTATAGATCTATCCATCCTATTAATGTTTAAATACTTTCTACATTACTGACTTTGCAAGCTTAAAACTCACCTTAGGAATAATTCATTCAGTCCAGGGGTCAGCAAACTATGGTCCACAGACCAAATCTAGGTCGTCATCACCTGTTTTTGTAAATAAAGTTTTATTGGCACACAACTACATCCATCTGTTTACCTGCTGGCTATGGCTGCTTTCATCCCACAAGAGCAGAAGTGGGTAGCTGCAGCAAGGACTACATGCATTGCAAATGGCAAATATTTACTATCTGCTCCTTTATAAGTTTTCCAACCCCTTCCCTGGAAAGAGAAACTGAGGCCAGCAAAGGAGCAACGTGTCCAGCTGTCCCAGGGAGGTCGGCCCACTGTCAGGCACAGCATGAAGGCCTAGAATATCTGCTGCCTTACCCTTCTCCAAGGACAGACAACACCGGAACAGCTACCCAGGGGTGAGAATAGCCATCCTCACCCCTGGGTAGCTCATGGTGACGTGTGGATTCTGCTAACCTGTCAGCTGTTCATCTCAGTTGGCAAAGTGCTGACGCCAATGGCCACGCTTCATGATCTCATCTTAAATATAAATAAGTAACAACGTCTCTAACCTGGGGGAGATGGGGTGAATCTTCTGGGAGAAAGGTGGAAAAAAAGCACAAAAGGGTTTACAAGCCTCCAATTTAAGTTATTTAAAGCTCCCGGTGTGTCATTCTGTACCCACTCCACTTACAGTAATGACATATTCAAACTCCCTTAGCTCAGCCCCTTGATAGCAGTCTTACCCCTCTTGATTGCCACCTGAAATAAACAATCAGAGCAGCTGCCACCTCGGGCAGGATGGGATGAGGGAGAGGAGAGGGGAATGGCGGTAAGGAGACTGGAACACCTTGCGTGGAGGCTGTGAAAGTTCTAGACTTGGGAGGAAAAGGAAGTGGGGTGTGAATTCTGGCTCTTACACTGTCTTACCTGGGTGACCTCTGCTGAGACTCAGCCTCCCTGGCCCTGACTGTCCACCTTTGCCAAATGGACTGGATGATACCAGTATCCACCACACAGGTAAAATGAGGGGATGAACGTCCAGGTCCCCAGCCCTCTGGGGCACACTGAAGGGCACAGTATCTTCCTGTCCTCTGCATCCTCCCCACTCTCAGTCCATCTTGGGGACTGATCCGCAGTTGGAACAGGGCACAGAGTTCAGATGCTCTTATCAGACAAGCCTGGAAGGGGCGTCCACTCCCAGCTCCACCTCCCGGAGGGCTGCGACCTTGAGTCCAAGAGACAATCCCAAGACCCCACTTAACAGTCTGCAACATGGGGAATACCACTACCAGCCTCCCAGAGAAAAATGAAATGAGATGATGTGAGTAAATGGACTGGCCTAGTATCCCACACTTCAGTCACTATAAATAATAAAATTACATCTCATTAAATTGCAGTTGGTTAAAGACAGTCCAAAAAAAGGTGTGTGCAAAGGAATGTGTGTACGTGAATATACTCCAAGCAACTCTCGGGGGGTGTGTGTGTGTGTGTGTGCACACGCGCACATTCTATTTTCTTCAACCGGAGTATAAAGTACCAAAGGGCAGAGGCAGTCTGTCAATTCACCTGTTACCTTCTTTCGCAACCACTGGGTTTCCTCACTGCACTGTGCCCGAGGCCCAGCAACAGCGTCTCCTGACTTTGATCATTCTGGATTCAAATAAGTTATGCCAGAATCCTGAGAGGTGGCGGGTCCCGCCCAAGGGGACACACACAGTAACACCAGCCACCAGCCAAATGAGAAATAAGCTATTCTGAAGACAGACCCAAATAATGCAGAGCCTATGTATGCAAAAAGCTACTAAAATATGAGCATAGAAGAACATTACGGCTTTGATACATTCAAAAGCCTCCTTGGTCTTTTAATAAAACACTTGATAAGTCTGCACATCCTGCCAGAGTCCACAAACATTACTGCAAAATTAACTGGGCAGCTTCAGACCCAGCGAGTGCCATGCCAGGGAAGATGGTTTGTGACTGCTTCTCAGACAAAAGGACAACTGTTCTCGGGCAGCAATGGTGGCCACTGTGGGGACGGCCAGAGCTTGCAGCGTGTCCTACTGGAGGCATACTGGGTCACAACGATAAGTGCTAATGAAAAACAACAGAGAGAGAGAGAGACAGAAATAGAGAAAGGAAGAAAGAGAGGGAGAGAGGAAGAAACCAAGGGTTGGGGACGTGCAGAGATGTGCTATGTGTCGGCAAGTAGAAGCCTGTTTGGAATACTCTAAAAGCCCATCTGGGCAGCACCGACTTCCCTGAAACAAATAGGCCCTCGAGATTCCAAGGCAGGTTATGGCTCGAAAAAGAAAACCCACCTCGTGTTTGCAAACACTACCCCTGGACTTGGTTTTAAAAGCAGAAAGATAGCAAAGAGAGCTCACCCTCCAGAGCTTTCCATTACGCAAGCTGGACCTGTCTCGTTTAATTATTTCCAATCCCTCTCCCTAGGCAGGGTGGGGCTGGGTGGTGGACAAATCCCCCTTCCTGCTTTCAATCAGCCTGGAAGGGAGAGAAGTGCTGTAACGCACACAGTCATCAACACACTTAGCTATTCTTCAGATCCAGCTAGAAAGAATCCATCACCAGCTGACAATGCCAGAAAGGGCCATGGGGAGGCCTTTTCAACACCAACCTGGAAGGGCAGCCCAGGGCCACTCGGAATGCAAGGCTGGGCAGGAGGAAGCTGGCTTCTTTTTATTGCATGGTCTCCTATCCACGCATAAATTAATACCGGAGACAAGAACATCTCCATTTTGAGGCTAAGTAAAGGTCATGGCCCTCATCCCAGACAGCAGTTCACAAACGGACACACCTGGGGACGGGGTCATAGCTGCCCATCGCCCTGGGCAAACCAACAGCACAGAACCTTCAGCCTGGCCAGTGGGCGGCTGTGCCTTTGTACCCAGGGCAAGCGTGAGAGCCATCGTGGGAAGAAACAAGTGACAGAGCTTAGCACAGGCACTGTGTCTTCTCAGGATGCCTCAGCAGCTCTCTCCCACGTCAGCCCTCCAGCAGGGAAGACCCAGACCTATGTAGGAGGAGACTGTCCCAGACCTGGGCTCCCACGCAAAGTCCACAATCACTCAAAGACGCGGGATGCAGCCTCCTTGAACCTGCCATTTACAGGAGGAGCCAGAGGAGGGTGGTATACACAAAAGCCAGCAAGGGCCATCTGAGGAATGTGTCATCCTCAGGAAGAACCCACTCTCAAGGCACCATCTCCCTTCAGCCACTAGAAAGTGGCCAAATTAAACACATCAGCCGTGGTGACATGTCCCGTCTGGCTGGCTCTCTGTGTCACACACACCTTCTCACGCTGTTTCCTGCTCGCTGTGGGGCTCCTGGGTTGGTCCCGGCCTGTTCCAGCAGGAGAGCCCAGGGGATAATTTTACTGCTGTCTCACAGACATTAGAGTCAGAAAATGCTGACAGGTACAGGCCCCGCATCTTTTCCGAGTCTCCTTGGGCATTTGACAGGGGAGGGTTCGGCAGCAAAGGGCCCCAGGGAGTCTCAGCTCTCACTGCATTTTCCAGACAGGCACAGAAGGAAGAAGCTCAGCCCCAACCCGCAGGCCTCCGGCAGCTTCTGTGGGAGCTCCTGCCCTGTGAGCCACAGCCCCGCGTCCCTCCCCAGCCACTGTCACTGCCAGCTCCCAGCCCAGGCCCCACGTGGCCAGCAAATGCCAGCAAAACTGCACTAAAAGGCCACTCTGTCTGCTCCTGCCAACACGTGGGACATTGCACCAGACACACACCAGACTCTTCCATCTCAGCTCCTGCTGAATTTCACTTAAATCACAATGGCCAGGTTCAAGGACAAGGTTCTCGAGGACACAGTTGTAGCAGCGGCTAGGGCCACGGCAGCCACTTCTTAGGACTGATGAGGCCACTTCTGGCATGAGCCATCCAATCCCATGCAGCGCTTACCTTGCCAAACTGCTCGAAATATTGCTTTACATCTTCCACTACTGTGTTCGCAGATAATCCGCCTACGAATATTTTCTTTGTTCTTGTGACCATCTGCAAGAAATGACAAGAGAAAGGCATGGGTTAACCAGGTTATCTGAAGCAGTGCTCAAGAGGATGCTGAAACAAACCACTCTCCACATCTCTCTAGGAAGGCAATTTTAGATATATTCAGGCTGCACGGCGCGGGTCTTCAGACGTCTAAGGAAGCTAGAGACAGTCACTCTGCCTGTCTCAGGCATTCAGATGGCAACCTAAAAGCCTGAGTTTCATACAGACACAGAGACTTCAGAACCTCATTGGCCACCAGGCACAGCTTCATTCTGATGGACGAGCAAAAAGAGAAAAACCACATGTCACGCTATCTTAAAGCTAAGAGGCACAAACAAAACAGACCTAAACACATAAAACCTGCTGCCCAGAAACGATCCGCAAAACCTGTCAGTAAGAAACGCACACATGATTCAAAATGAAGCGCAGACTGTCTGCGCCGAGCTGTTTGTGCTAGGTGCTGGTGTGTACATCTGGAGGCAACACAGGTGCTGACCCCACACCTGGGGACCACCCTCCAAGCTCTGCCCAGGATCCCTCCTCCTGATTCCCTATGATTCACCTTGATCCACCCTGCACCCGGTCAAGCCTGGCTAATCCCCAGATCCCCAGACCTTTCTTCCTGCAGGTCCTTTTCCTCGGGGCCTCCACTCCTACGTCTCCAAAATCCAAAGTATTTACTTATCATTACAGCCAGGAGCTAGTCCACCCTTTTCTGAAATCCCCTGACACTGTCTCCATATCCCTGTCTTAGCACTCCCTGCTCTCCACCTTGTGTTAAATGACTTCCTCCTCCAGACGATAAGCTCTGACTCCTCTACGAATCCTCCACCAGGCCCTCCACAGCAACAGGCACATAGAAGCCGACACTGAATGTTTGGTGGATGCACAAATGTGGCCACATTTCCGAATCACACCAGTTCCAAGGCCAAAGGAGTAGGATACTCAATGACGTCAACTGTCCAGAATGGGAACCAAAATCTTACATGCAGGAGCCAAAAATCAAGAAAATAAATTTTGTCCTAAAGACTGAGTTTGGGCTTTGTGCCATTTTTGTTTTACTGTCACGATAAAAAATTACAGAATTTGGCAGGTGAGGGTCTGACCAGTTTGATGGCCTATAAACACGCAATGTCATCTGTGTCCACCGCAACTCGATGTAGGATGCTGAAGTACAGGAGCCACAGCTGCCTGGATCCCTGTCATCACGGAGTCTCCTGGCACATCCACCGAGTGAAGGAGTGAACCAACCCACCTCAGTAGGAGCCTGCGGTGAGTGATGCCAGGGGCACAGTGGTTACTGGCAGACGGTACTATAGGGCACTGGAAATCCAGCTCCTGGGTCTAACTCTGGGTGTGACCCTGGGCAGGACACACATTCTCCTAGGTATGCGTTATCTGCAGCAGGAGACGCTGGACCAGGGCTCCAAGGTCCCACCTCATGCCCAGCTTCCATGAATCCATGGGCATCATGGCCATGACGCAGAGAGGCTCACAGATTCCAGGGAGCTCTCGCCTTAGTTTAGTAGCTCCCACGGAAGGCACGGGCCACCACAGCCTGCTGGTTGACCCCAAACTTGAATATCCTTGTCATGGACATTCGACGGTGTTTTAAGAGGATGTTGTCCTGAAAACTCGGTATACCACCTACTGCCGACTTCCTCCTGCCCGTTAAGAACCAAGCAGTGGCTTGCTCATGTGTTTAAAGCTGGGATTGACTATTTTTCAACTCCTTTCCAAATGAATGGGGGATTAGATGAGATAGTGCATGTGAAAAACTCTATGACGATCCCACCACTGTGCACAGCACTGATTCCAAGTACCTCTCATTACCCCTGTGGGCGTCCCATGCTCGCTCCTTACCGTCCATCTCCCTCCTCATCCATTCCTTAAGTTTCCCCGGTAAATCAAGGTTCACTTGAATGGCAAAACTCCATCAAGCCCTTTCCAGATTTAAGTGTCTCCCTGCATTCATGAATCACCACATTTTACGAATCTAACTTTCCTAATGTATTCATTCAACAGATACATTTCAGTGTGAGGTGCTGGAGCCTACATTCTAATAGAATGTGGAATGTAATCCACTATAAAATGAAGATATAATAATTGGCCTACCACACAAGGTTCCTATTAGCAGTAAATTAAGTAACATATGCAAAAGTGTCTCACAGGGCACCATGTGGTCACCAAATAAACGGTCACCGCAACTGAATCCAAAGCCAGTTACTAGACTCACCTTTCAAGCTCATAACTACACGTGTGGCGAAAAGACACGTGACACAAAACGTGCCTTTGAAAAGGCAACTCTTATTGCCCTATTGTCTTCCACTATAATTTCAAAAACACTTTCCTGCATCTCTACCTGATTTCAGATGGGCAAAGATTCCCAGTAGTTTAATTTCAGATTTTTCATTCCTTCTTTTCCCTTATCCCAGCCAAGTAATTAAATATCTGTAAAGAAACCCTAACGTGATCTACCAACATGCCCTAGTCAAGTTCTCAACTTAAAGAAACTCTGGAGAGCCATACTATAACCTGAACCCCACGGTCTCATTTATACACTGTGTAGAGCTGGGCAGGTATACAGCAACCCTGTCTATATTCCAAACGTTCATGTGGACCCAGAGAATTCAAGCAACAACATGTCTTCATTCCAAATAACAGAAGTCAACAGATTGTTCATTCCCCAGTAACTGGTGAAATGAAAATCTTCATATACCATCGCTGTTGCCTTATAGCTGTAAACCTGCCTAGCCAGAGCCCTAAACACAGAGGCAGCCACCCAGCTATAAATCTACACAGTCCCCAAAAAGCCTCTAAAGCACTTTTTTTAAAAAGAAGGATGAGAAATTCCAGGTCCCAGACAATGCACCAAAGTGTCCAAGTTACTAAAACATCCTCTCCAGGGACCAGCTCAGATACAGTGATGGATCCTACTCCTCAGCAAACACTAAAAGGAAACTGTTTTAATCAAAACCTCCCAAACGTGAAAAGGCTAGTGGAAAGACGGGCAACCCTTGGTTAGCTGCTCACCAGCTTTAGAAGACAGGGGCAAAGCTTAGGGGGGTGGGGGGCAACAGGGCTGTGCACGGTGACCTCTCTCACCAGGGGCTTGCGGGGGGAAATGGAAGTGATTTACTTTGAGAATCCTGCCAGCAGAACTGCCAAATGGACTGTGGCCTGCCCCACAATTTGCATTCTGGTGAGGGACACGGGAGGCAGAGGACCCTAGAGTCACACATTCTTCTCTCGGTTTCCTTGCCATCTCCATGGCTACTGAGGAAGGCAGGAAGCGGGTGGGGCTGGGATGTTGTGCCCTGACTCTCAGTGGGACTAAATGGAAGTCCTCAAATTCCCATCAACACTATGCAAGGTTTGTATGGACACACGAGGGTGCATGCACATGCATGGGTGTGCGTTTGGGGCAACTCCAGTCCCACCCCTCGAGTCTTGGCTTCTATTTGCCCCAGGAACCATCCAGTATCCCTGGAACTTCAACCCTGGATACAGTGAGCTGGACAAAGTTCCCAGGCCCCCAGGCTCTATACTCTTTTGGGTTATTAAAAAAAAAAAAAAAAAAAATCCTCTCCACCCAGTGAAGAGAGCCACCTGTTTTCTTCCTATGATGGGCCCTTCAGGCAGCTGCTTCCTAACCTGCAGCCTAAACACCAGAAGAGTACCCATACAGGAAAGCATACAGGGCATAGATTACCCATACAAGGAAGCAGCGACTGTACCCCCAAAAGCTCAGATGGCCCCACTCAGGTCCATAAACTGAGAGGGAAAGAGCCACCCATCTGTTTCAGAGAGCTCAGTCCAAAATCCATTAGGAAATTGATCTTAAATTTCCTTTGCTTGGAGTTTTTAGTGGAGAGGTTGCAGATAACATTTTGGTATGTGAGTGCTTCCCACCATTAGAGACACCAGATACCGAGCTGACAGCCCTGCACCATGTGGGGACGGCCCCCTCTCCCAGCAGGCGCCCCTCCTTTTATGGTTTAAGGTGTCACTCTGGGAAGCAGGAGGTGTCTGTGTGCATGTGTGCGTATGCGCGCTCTTGCCCGTGTACACAAAGGGCAGTGGGGAGTGTTCAGGCTCTCAGAAATCATTGCTGGAAACTTCTGTATCTAGACCTGTAATTTAACTAAACACCGCTGCTCTCCACATACCCCTTGGCTCCTTAAAGAAAACCCCAGCACCCATTCCAGTTTGGAAAATTGCTGTTTACACGTAAGAACTGGCCAAAGCCAGTACTAACCAGAGCTGCAAAGCGCGCTCCACCTTCCTGCCTCTAAACAGAGAACTGGCTTTTTACGTTTAAAAAAATCCCTTTTAAAAAATGTGTTTGCATCAGAAACCGTCACTAGGAATGGGGCCACTGTTTGTATTTTTATAGAATAGGATAAAGCGTGTGTGTGTGCGTGTGTGTGTGCGTGTGTGTGTGTGTGTGTGTGTGTGTGTGTTGAAGGCACAGTGGGGTAAGGAAGGGTTAGAAAAGATAGACTACTTTTAAAAATGAGATTAAAGGGAAAACTTAATTGCAACTGCACTGGCCTAAAGATATTCGTTATCACACAATGAAAACAAAAACAAGACAAACACCAAAAGACCCAAATATTTCTTAATCCAAACAAATGCATGGCAAGGCAGGAAATGGCTCCGGAGAGCCTTAAGTGAGTATGAGGAAGGCCCACAGACATTAAATCAGCTCTGGCTATTATCATGTTCCCTAAAAGACTTCAAATTCCCCATGATGAAAAAATGGGAGCCATCTTCACTGCCCAAGAACACAGGCTTGTTTGCAGATGATCCCTCATCTGTGGAAACCCCAAGGTGGAGAAAGCCCAGGAAAGATGTTAAAATGCTCGCCTTGGGGAGGGTGCTGCAGACCTTCTAGTTCATCCTCCCCAGCGTGCAGATGGAGAAGTCAAGTCCCAGTGAGATGACTCATGTGCTAGTTAAAGTCAAGGCAGGTAGTGAGGAAGACAGCTTTCCCAGGTTCA